AAAGTAACAGACAGGAGACTAAAGCATTGTTTCCTTAACTCCTGTGTCCTTTGAAATACCTTAATCTGCTTTGCCTTATGGGAGCCACTTCTGCCTGGTGCATGATTTATTCACACATTGTTTCTTGCTGAATTGGACAGTAGCTGAAAGACAGGTAGGAATGGAGAGCACAAAAGATCATAATGCACAGCAGCATTTCAAGTCTTTTTAGTATCATTTAACCCTTTCTTGTGACACACGACTGGTGGAAGGGGAACGTGTTCCACCTTGCTGAGCTGTCAGCAGAAGCAGCCTGTGCTGGGATGCTGAAGGACACTTCCCAGTCTGCTGCACAGCCAGTGGACCTGCAGTGCCATGAATTTCCACCCAGCAGAAAGGTCCTTTGGAGCACCAAGCGTGACGCCAGAACACAAAACACTCCATTCATCAAAGCCATGAGCAAGAAACTCTGTGTTTTTGGTTTTAGAAGTAACTTTTGTACGTTTACGACTTTTTCCACATTAAACATCATTTATGGTTTGGAAATTGTTCAGGCAAGAGGCATGTGGTTTCTGCTCCTGAATATCAGCAGCAGTTTTGCTACGTTCAGTCTCTATTTTTTGTTGACATTTTTTTGGCTTTTCACTTGTCCTTTGGGTGGACCTCTTTGGAGAAGGCTGCCCCAAGGAGAACCCATAACCCTCTTTCTAAATGAAGACTGAGTGATCTGCTTAAGGTGAAGATGATTACTTTGGTACAGAGAATTTGGGTTCAGTGCCAGACTTTTGCAAAGTACCTGGTGAAGAAATACCTTTTCTGGGATGTTCCCTCATCAGAGCACTTGCTGGAACAAATTGAGAAGGAGGAATTTCACACCTGGACTTAGAGACAGAAGTTGATAGGTTTTTCCATAGGCAATGTGAGAAGTTATAGGGTAGCTGTTGAATTTTCAGTTAATTCTATTCATGCTGAATAAATGGTAAAAGGCCTAATGATCTAGGAAACCTACAAATTACAGATTTTACTGAGATTTCAAGGGCCTCCTTTTGCAGGCCTTCCTTTGCATAAGTGCTACATTTCAAGGGAGAGTGGATGAAATTACAGAGATTCTCTGTGCTCCACTTGCCCAAGGATTGGAGACCCCTTTTCTGCCATTGTATGGAGTGGCAGTCAGAGGGAGTCCCTGCTGCCAAATAAAGGGCCCTGATTAGAGGCCTTAGTTTATGTCCCTGCTCCTGCCTCGATGAGGAATGAATAAAAGACATGTCCTGCCATGTGTTAGGGCTGTTTTCTTCACTCTTTGGCCCTTGGCATTGTGGCCCAGTGGCTCCTGGTGCTGGGTGTCTCTGTTCTGGTGCAGTGCTCTTTCTTTGAGACTGAAGCTTGCAAAAGTTCCCTCCAGCAATAGCCCATGGAGAGTTGCCTGGAGCTCACAGCAAATGATGCCTAGTGCCTCTGGAATTCAGGATAGAAACCTGCTTGGAGGGGAAGGGTGTTGCAACTATATTTTTTACAATTGTTTCCTCTTCAGTGTTTGTATTCTTCCATTACTGACCATGTTTATCCATCTGCTGTTCAGGGTGAACAGGAGCACTAAATTTCATGGAGGGAAAACAAATTTTTTAAGGAATTTTTTGTTTTGTTTCCCTTGCCTAAGCTTTTTGTGTGTGCCTACTTTGTACCCCAGCTGCTTCTGCAAGTCTAATATGCCTCTATTTGTACACCCAGTTTCTCCTCCCCGGGCCAGGGGCTCAGAGCGTTTCTGTCCCAGGGCAGAACAGCCTGTGACAGCGGGGTTCCATTCCTGTCAGGACCACAAGCCTACAGGGTGGTGCAAACTCTCCCAGCTCAGTCTCCAGGTTGTGATGGTTTCCCAATAATGGGAAGAGATGATGAAAGCAAAGAAAGACGCACAGATGGGGAAAGATATCTCAGGGCTGCCAGGGCAGCTGTTCGAGATCCCGGAATCAGATGGAGACAGAGCTCCACCACCCTCAGCTTCCCCACCCTCAGCCAGCCCATCTCCACTGTGCAAAACAAAACCAGCCCCACCCCAGCCGTGCTGGTTTAGCTGATGGTCTAGTTAATAAATGGCAAATTCCAGGGGTAATCCTGTCAAAGCCTTCCTGACATCCTCATTGATAATACTAACCACAAAGGGCTCCCCTGCTCATCCGATTAATACCAGAAGAATTCTACTTGATTAGGTTATTACTGAGGGGAAATGTAGGAAAGATAAATATTCCAGGGAAAAATCAGGCTTTAGACAAGGGGGAAGGTCACAAGTGTCCATGGCTTGTAAAGTTTTTCACCTGGTGGAGAGGGAGAGGTTTGTGATCCCCTGCTCCCTAACAGAGCAAAGGATGGGTGTCCCACCCTGCTTTGCCTGCAGCCCATCCATATCATGTTGATGGGAGCACTGGGAGCCAGGCAAGTGCCTACGTCTTGGAAGGGTTGGAGACTTTGAATGTAAAGTCCCAAGGGCAGAGAGCTGTGTAATTGTTTCCTTGAGAAGTCTGCAAGGCCAAATTAGTGCAATTTGGGATCTTGGCACACAACTGAGAGCAGAGGGAGGAGCAGAGTTTTTTTCTCTTGTCTTCGTACCATACTCCTTCCCTGGAAAAGCCAGGATAGTAGTTTGGAGGCTGGGTAAGAAATACAGTATTTTGGGAAAGATACTGGGCTGCTGCTCTCTTATCTTTTCCAGAACTGTGGTTCTTAGTTATGTTGAGATGTCAGTTGTTCATGCTTCTCAAGCTGCCTGCAGATCCAGGCAGGCGTCATAAGATTCCCCACACTTGGGCTTTTAAGTATTTATCACCCTTCAGGCTTCTTGACATGATGGGGGGGCTGGGGGGGAGCTTTTTAAATGAATGTCAAGATTGTGATACAGAAGACTAGTAGAGCAGTTCTTCATCCTCTGTTTTCTGGTACCAGCATCCCTGTGTCTTCATCACTGGGAAGTACAACATGTTTGGTCATGTAGATATGATCAGAACAGGAGCAAACACTTGGGCACACCTGAATGGTTGTTTGCTCTGTGTGTTTCCCTGGCAGCTCCCTAAAACTGGAATCTGCTTTACTGACCAGAACAGGTATTAATGGGAAAAAGATATGTGGAGGAGATAAAAGATAAAAGGGTTTTTGGGGTTGGATATGGTTAGCTCGTGTGTGTAAATAGTTGATGGTGGGAATAAAGAGGCAGGAGACAGACTCTTGAGGATTTCTACTGTGAGGGTGTTTGAATATAGGAGCAGGTTGCCCAGAGAGGCTGTGGAGTCTCCATCCTCAGAGGTAATCCACAATCCACATGGACATGTGCTGGGAAACATGCTACAGTTGAGCCTGTCTTGAGCAAGGGGGTTGGACCAGATGATCTCCAGAGGTGCCTCCAGTCTCAGTGATGCTGAGATTCTGTAACTACACTTGCAAAATGCCTGTTAGAGGGTAGTTGTGATAAGCTGACTTGGGAGGTGAAAGCAGCTCCAGAAGCTCTCACAGATCGCTGGAAATATCCTAGTTGAAAACAGCTCTCCATATTTCTAAGCTGGTTTTTTTCCAGGCCATGTGGAACATAGCCTGCAGACTAATTGATAATCTCAACTGGGGAAAGGGGTGAATTGTAGCACTGCAGCAAAGTCCGTGGAAAGAAGAAATTTGTGAGCTGGCTCAGTTATTGGAGATGATCTGGCATGTAGTTACACTTCACTCCCTGCCCCCAAAGTGTGGGGCTGTGCCATTCTCTCTCACAGCAAGCTTGGCACTTGCCTTAAGGTATGAGAAGAGGATCTAGGAGGTCCAGAGGAGGAGAACTGAGAGAGCCTGAGGCTTTTAAACGAGAAGAGTGAGGGAGAAATGTGATAACATCATGAAGTAGCAAAGGGCTGCAGGGACAATACAAGTAATACAAGGAGAATGGGTATAATTTGTTCTCCATATCAAGGGCATATTGGACAAATTTCAAGGTTTTTAACTACAGCAAGACATTAGAAAAAAAATGTTATAGCAGTAAATATAATGAAGCCCTAGAATGAAGTGCAAAGGTGCCTGTGGGGTCTGTGAAGGAAATATTTAAAACACAGTATAAAAATTTCAGTCAAGGATGGTGGACTGAGCTGACCTGCCTTGGAGCAGGCAGATGGATGGAGCAGAAAGTCCCTTTTTGTCCTCAGCTTCTGTGACTCCTGGACAGTGGGAGTTCATATGCAGCAGGGAGCTTGCCTATAGGAAGAGGCTCCTCTTACTGTCCCCCACTTAGATTGTAAGTCACAGGGAAAACAAGAGAAATACATTTTACTCTGTAGTTTTCTTACCACTGGACCTTCTCAGGACAGGAGATGTACCATCTTGTGTGGCTTTTCATGTCTGAGGATGTCACCAAGTTCAGACTTAGTCCTGGGTCGAGCTCCAGCTTTGCAGGGAAGCTCAAACCAGAACTGGCCTTTTTGTTGTGCTGAATGCTGGTTGATCTTATTCCCTTCCTATTTCACCCTCCCACACCCTGTCCCAGACCACAGATAACATTTTTAGGCATGCTCTGAGTAAGCAAGAGGGAATGGATCCCACTGGTAAGGGAGGTAGTTGGGTAGATGAAGTTGCTTGCTTTAAAACATCATCTCTAGAACTTTCCTGGCTTCAAAATCAGCGTTGGGAATTCACTGGCAGCTGAGCAGGGATTTTCAGGCTTTCACTGGGTTCTGAGTTGGGAAACCAAAATCCCTGAGGAAAAGAAGATTCCAAGTCCCTCTCAGGCTCCAGGTCAGATAACCTTTCCAGCCCATGTCCCCTTTGCCCCTTCAGAGGAAGGCACTGGCCTCAGCAGTGTCCTGCTTTCTGCAGCCTGTGCTTCAGAGGAGCCTTCCTGAGTGTGGGTGAGCGTCACTGTGCCCCAAGAGCCAGAGCCCTGTAACATGCTGAGAGAGCAGACTGTCTGGTCCTGGCATTTCTTTATATTCCAGCCCACAGCCATTCCCTTTCTGAGAAACCTAACCACTTTGTGTCCTTTCTTCCCTCCCTCTCAGCTCCCTGGACACGTCTACTGCCATGAGATGTCTCAGCCAAGGATTTTGAGCCAAGATATGAGGGAAATGGTTTAACCAGATGTGTGCCCATGCCTGTGACACTGAACTTTGAGATGCTGATATTTAAAAAGATTGCCATCTCCCCTGCCTCCCAGCAGCAAGGTGAGTATGGGACAGCAGCATATCCAGAAAAACGCCTCTTTTTCAAGGGGAAGGAGAGGAGGTTATAATTCGACTGCAAAAATTTGCTCCAGGCTGAAAACTTGGCAAACAAAAGCTTAACTTAGGAGTGATTTAAAAGGAAACAACAAAAAAGCATAAAATAAATCAGGGCAGTCATTTTGGGTGGAGATGAGGGTCCAGAGCTTAAAGATCATTCTTTAGTGGGGGAGGAGAAGGAGCGGCTCAAGACAGAGTTGTATTTGGCTCTCAGCCCTACTACAACTAAGCCTTTCAAAGCAGGAGAATAAACTGAATACAGTCCCTGGCCTCTCCCTTCACCCATTTGTCAGAGGAAAGCAAGGCCCCCTGTACTCTTTAAGCAGAGTGGATGCAGATAGGGTGGCATTAGCTGAATTCCTCCTATTGCCACTTTCTAAATGTGGATTTCCCTGTACCTTAAGTTGTAAAAGCACATAAAGTCATTGAGGCTCAGCTTGCCCAGGAGATAAAGAGGGGCAACTGTTGCTTTCAGCATTGTGACTCCCCTCAGGCCCCCTCTCTCTGTGCTGTACCACACCTGCTGCTCAGCATCTGTGCCCTGCTTCTGCCTTCAGCACTGCACAGAGCCACTGCACACCATGCTGGAGACCTGAGCAGGAGGATGGCTGCTCCTTACAGCCCTTACCTGGGCTGACTCCTCTACAGTCCCAGGTTCACAGAGCTAAGGAAGAGGAAGAAGAGCTGAGTGGCTGCACAGCAGCAGAGACCAGAACACAGATCATGCCTCTGGAGGGAAGGCTTTTCCAGACTATTACCTAATGTTTGTGGCACACGTGATTGGCAGCACACTTGGCACAGGCCTTGGGAAACAAAGACAAGGTCCAGCCAGTTACTTGCCTTTTGTCATCTCCAGACCCCTGGGCCCCTCCAGCCTGTGTTCCAGTGCATAACTGCATTGCAGGCTCCCTTTGTGGTTCTACGACTGATTTTCCTGATGGCCTGGAGTCTCCACACATCAAGTTAGGGAGCAAAGTATAATGGTGGCATTTTAGACAAACTCCTCCACCTACAGAGAAGGATTTCACAGTGGAGTGGGTTAAGCACTGGCACAAGTAGCCCAAGAACTGTACAAAAGCTCCATCTTTGGAGATTTTCAGACCTCAATTGGATGAGGGTCTAGAGCAACCTGACATGGCTTTGCTGACTCTCCCTATTGCTGTGCACAGTTCTAAAATAGCCATCCCCTTGGCTGCCTGGTGGAGTGCTTTGGCTGTAGCAGGTACCAAGGAGCTATAGGCTAAATGAATGATCAAAGGCTCCCTCCCACTGCATGGTTTCCCTCCCAGGTTCAGTTCCATCAGCTTCAAGTGACACGGGCAGGTACGGTTACCTAGTTCTGCTCAGAAGAGGCCTTCTGTGAAGAGCAGCACAGCTTAAACCTCTCTGGCTTTTGTCACAGGCTTCACAGTTTGCTCGCAAATATTTTTGTATGTGTTCACAGCTCCTCCCTGGCTGAAGAACTTAGTGCTCTCCAGCAGCTGACAGTGCCACATTTTGCTTCATGTAAAAGAAATGCACTTTAATTCTGTTTTTTCTCCAGGTAGAACCAGCCACTACCAAAACTTTCAGAACTAGGTCTGTTGATTTGATTTGATTTGTGCTTCTGGCACTTTTGTTCTTGCAGTATTAAGAGATTTCTTACCTTTACTGGTACACTGCATGATTTGAGACCTGGTCGTCAGTATCTCAGTAGAGTCCTTTTTTGACCTTTCTGAATATCTCAGTAGTCAACTACTGAGATGTTGAGGGAGGCTGTTCAAGATGCTGATGCTTTCATGTATTGTCATTTCTAGGGAGGACTGAAGCCACTGAGCGTGGAATCCAGCCCACCTTCCACCTCCCACCTCCCCGAGTGCAGCCAGAACATCTACAGACTGATCTACAGCTGCTCCCAAGCACTGCAACTTCCACTTGTCTACGTTTTCAGGACACAAGCCACTCCAGGAAAGCTGCTTTTGAAAAGGTATGTCATCTCTTGTTTAGATTAAAATAAAATGAAAGAGGGGAAAAAAGAAAAACATTTGCCTTTGGCATCAAAACAAAGCAAGTCTTTCTTTTCCCTAAGCTTCCTTAACTGTGCTCTGTGCAAAAGAAAATGTAAAAATGAATGGGGATGAAGGTAAAGGCAAGGTACTGGCATTGGAGATAAAGTTAATCAGAGCCCAGCAGAAATAATATGGAGTGGAAGAAGTTTAACAAGTTCATTTTATGTGCCACTGTGTCATGCTTCCCTTTGTTGCTCAAGAATGTTGCTTCACTGGTTCCTAGGGTGTGAAAGGGCCATGCTGCTGGGAGGATGTGCCCCCAAGACCATGCACGAGCCACTACTGGGCTACCTTTCCATCTGAAAATTGTTGTTTTACTTGTATTACAGTTTTGCTGTGGACCAGGAACGGGTCTGGACTTTGTAGTCAGAGGTCTTCTGTAGTATGATAGCTTGTATAGAACAGTACTGGGCAGGACAAAAGTGTAATGAGAGTAGGCAGGCACTCCAGTCAAACCAAGGGAAGTTAATATGCCTCTGTAGAAAACATTCACAGTGGTCAGGAGGTTTGAAAGATACCCATCTTGTAAGGAGCTCAGAAGATTAAGCTAAATGCTCTTTAAAATAATGGAGATCCCTCTGACCTTTGCTTTCAAGGGCAGGAGGCAGGACAACATAGACTGTGTTGTGTGTACACATATAAAGCAAAGCCCAGGAGGAACCTCACAGACCCTGTCAGGAGGGGTAGAGGGCACTGTGAGAGTGTGACAAGCCCTGGCATATTGACACCTCACCACTGCAAGGAATGGCTTGAAGCCAGGCTGGGGCTGAGCTTCCAGCAAGGACTGACATCTCTCCCTGCTGCCAGGGTTTGTACACATCCCAAACTGCCATTGCATGCTCTGTGTGAGTCCTGAGACTGGAGAGCCGGCTCCATCTACCCCTTGGGTAGGTCTGCAATGCACTGCAGAGACATCCCAGCCTGCTGGCTTTCCTTCCCCTCCTCCAGTTCCCACCTGCACCCCCAGCCCTGGAACAAAGACTCCCACTGAAAGCAAAGAAGTAGCTGTAGTGGAAGATTCCCTATTACTGCCCACATATGAACTGCTGCTGCTGCAGGCTGTGGCTCGTGTGATGACAGCAATGATTCAATTAAGTGATTTTTGAATACTTCCTCAAATGGCAATAAGTCCTTTGTGTGGACACTCTTAAATCAGTTGGAGTGGCCAGGAACTGAGGGATGTAAATTTGTAAAAGAAACAGAGCTGCAACTCTGCTTCCCTTTTTTTTTTTCTGTGTGTTTCCTCTACCTAGAGGCACAGCCAGGCAGTTTGATGACCATGCCCAGCTAGTTTTTAGCTCAGCCCCTCAAGGGGAAAAAAAAATAAAAGAAAAAGTGGTCAGTGTCCTCCACCATTTGTTCTGCCCTTGGTGATGTCAAAGCCTGCTCCAGAGCACGCTCCAGGTCTGTCCATCATAAATGCCCCTTCCACCCACTTCAGCCTAAAAGACATTTCATAGGCCTTTGCTGGAAAGGACCACACATCACATGTGAAGGACTCAGAAAAGCCAAGGTAGGACTCCTGTAACAGCTGTAACTCAGACGTTTTTGCACACATATTATTTTTAGTTAATATAGTTGGTGTTAACATTAATGCCTTAACCCTTGAGGAAGCTAGCTGACTTCCAGGTCAGTATGGCCAGGGAGCTGGCTAATTTCCAGAGTTTTGGGGAGAGAGCCAAGAAGTGCAATGCCAGGGTGTTTCTGGCTGCTGGTGTTCCTGAGTGGACCACATCCGGGTCTGCACTGTATCCTGGGCTTCCAGCCCTGTCTGCCACCCCACCACCCTCTGCTTGCACTGTGGGCTGTGTCTTTAACAGCAGGGCTACACATTACCAACAGCAGCTGTGTGTACTGATACTTCACCCAATATTACTTGAATAGGACAGATTGGCAGCTTATGGACTGAGCTGTACAGGCTGGTGGCTTATGAAGGGACAGCCACCTTGGTCCAGGAGTTTTGTGTGTGTAAGATGTGGCAAAAAAAGTGACACCATCAGCCATGACCCGCCGTTGTTACTGAACTGTGGATTTCACCAGGAAAAGGCTGTGGCAAGCAGGCAGGAGAGGAAAAGGGAGGGGGGATTTCAAACACCACAGCTCAGAGAAAGCAAGCCCTGCGTTCGTGCTTACGTCAGTAGCCTGTCTGTGTGCTGACCCCAGGCTCACCTGAGCCTTGGCAAAGCTCCCCTTTGTTCTGTGTTGGCGTTCAGAATCCGGAGTTATCCCACCGCCACTCCGTGACCCGTTCCACCCAGACAGCCTGCCCATGATTGCTTCATAAAGCAAGACCCAGGAATCAAAAACAGGGCATGTTTCCTGAGCAGAGATGGAAAACAGCTGTGCTGGAAAAAAGGAGGGGTTTGCTGGCTGAGCAGTGGAAAATACAGATCAAGGCCTAGTTGTGCAATCTTCCCTGGCTGGCCTTTGGATGCTGCTGTGGCAAGGGGACCAGCTGCAGTTGGCAGGAGGCTGCTGCCCAGGGATGGGGGTAGCGAGAGCCTCTGGTGACAAGGCTGGAAACCCAGAGCTTAGTTTTACAGATGCTTGGGAGGCTGATAAGTGACATCTGGTGATGCTGCCCCCTCCACTGTCCTGCAGTCAGGTCTGTCTGGCCAGTCCCAGATGGCGTTTGAAGGGCCAGGCCCACGACTGCAGAGGCACAGAGCTCTGCAGGGCTGCAGAGCAGCAGCACCAGCCCAGGTGTGGAGCTCAGTTCTGCCTGATGCTCATAAAGTGCTCCCCGTGCAGCCACAGCCAGGGGATGTGGTTATGTTGTCTGGCCAGGTTCCTGCCTCTGAATCCCCAGCAATTGTGCAGGGAGGCTGAGCAAAAAATCTTAGGGCTGGAATCTGCTCTGCCACTGCCATCTTTTAAAAT